CTTTCATGTCTGAATCTGTGCATTGTGTATCTGAAATTCTTTTCTGACAAGGATCGTTTTGTAAAAATAGTAAATAGTGTGATTGATGTGGCACTGGGTACTGGTTCTACCTCTCTCAGCCTTTCAACATGGTGGAGGTACATTTACTGCTAGCTCTGTGAGCCATGTTTACAACCCCAACTCTTGGAAGTAGTTGGCCCATGCCTCCACCAAGAAACTTGTAGTATGCTGCCTACAAACCTCATTTAAGTGCTCAGTAACAGGATCTTCCAAAAGAGCCAGAGTCATTCATGTCACTAGTTCTTAAATGAGCCACACAGTTTTTGTTGCTAATGCTGAGCGGAGTCAGGAAGTCTACTCTTAAAGGAATTATGCCTCTATTTACTGCTAGCAATCAGAGCCTTTCTGAAAATATGTGAGTACTAAGAAGCTCCGATTGAAACCTATTTTTGTGGATCCAGAAGCCCATTTTTTAATGTTTCCTTAGGCTTTATGTGGATATATATTTCCCCACATTGGCCGCCATTTGTAACCAGAGACTGCACCTTTATTTCCCAGCCACCCAGACTGAATGAGCACACAGAAACTGTATTAATTATAAGACTGCTTTGCTAATAGCTTAGGTGTATTACTACCTAGCTCTTATATCTTAAATTAACCCATTTCTATTAATCTGTGCATTGCCATGAGACTGTAGCTTACTGGAAAGTCTTTCTCCTTCAGCAGCTATATTTCCCTGACTCTGCCTTCTTGCTCCCTGTATCCAGTTTAGTTTTCCTGCCTAGCCTGCCTAGCTCTATTCTGCCATGACATGGGACAAAACAGTTTCTTTATTAATCAATGGTAAAACAACAACAACAACAGCAACAAAAAAACATTCACGGCATAAAGAGGGGAATCCCACATCAGCAGGTAAAAGGCACCTGTCAACATTATAAGTCTGTTTGGACTGCATACCCAAACTGTCAAATAATCTCTACCAGTGCTATATGAAAAGATAGCATGCAATAATAAGTCATGAGGACTCTGACACCAGAAAGATTTATCACGTCTCATTCAGTCTCAGAGCTGTTTCCATGCAGAGGGATACCTTTCACCTGTCCTGTAGTCTTTTCTGGCTTGTTCCCTCACATCTACAGCTACAATCCTCAAGAGGTCTCCTCCTGTCAAATCTAATTTCTTTTAATTTTGAAGGAATTCATAGCTTTTTTTTTTTTACTATGGAAACAAAAGTACAACCTCTCCCCCAATGCAACACATTTCCTGACTTTTATTTGAAGACAAAAATATCCCTAAGGTATGTTAGCTAGTCCCTTCTAACACAGGGACAGTCCCTTTAACACAGCAGTCCCTTCTACACTCCAATATCTTTAAGCAGTTGCCATTAACTCATCAGCACTCAAAATATTCAAAGTCAAGAAGGCAACATACAGCATCCAGGTGTCCTGTGTATTTTCCATCCTCATGTGGTTTATTTTTTTATATTATTTTACCTTTTCCTTAAAGATTTCACTATTATTTTTTAAACTATTTTTTGATGATTGTCTATATCCATTTTCTTTTCTTTCTTCAGCACCTAAATACTTTTTTTTTTTAGCATACGTTATCTTTTTAGAGGTTTTCGTGTCTGAACCTTGCTTTCTGCATGTCTTCATCATTCTCGAACTACATGAGTCAAGCTTTAAAGGGCCAGCCCATGTACCATGTGATTCTGTGCTGGTGACTAACTCAAACCTACAAGCAATGACTGATAGCTATGCATTTGTATGCCATGTACCACCACACCTGAGAGACTAGAACACCACATCTCCTTGTACAGAACTTTTCCTAGCTTTTTCAGGTTCTATGTTTGCATATTCAAGCCCCATATTGGGCACCATTTATGGTAGTACTTTCTCATTGGGATTGCCTGCCTGCAAATAATGACACAGAGACTTACTATTAATTTTAAAAGCTCAGCCTGGGCTTAGGTTTATTTCTAACAATTCTTATAACTTGAGTTAACCCGTATTTTAAAATCTACATTCTTCCACGAGGTTCCTTAACTCATCTCCATACTGCTTATTCTACTTCCTCTGCATCTTTCTTTCCAGTTCTCTCTGTTATTTCTCTCTGTCCAGAAATCCTACTTATACCTTCTGCCTAACTATTGGCCATTCAGCTTTTATTAAACCAATGACAGAAACATATCTTTACACAGTGTATAAATATCTCATAGCAAGTTTATAGTCTAATAGTTAAGCATACTTAACATTACCATTGTTTTAAAAGGTGCTACCAATATTATACTACAGTTAGAAATAAAAGTATTAGGATAGCCATAAAAGGAAACAAGAGGCCAATTTCTAAGGTGAACATCAGATAATTCTTAGTAAATAGAATGTAATGATAGATAGAAAAATGGATTCCTCAACTTTAAGTAGTACCATGAAAGCTGGTCCACAAGGGAGGGCATATTCACGTCAATTTCAAGTCCTGTTTCTGAAATGCATAGTGTCTTCAAAAATAAGTATCTGCCTTGTACCTCTGCAGGTGAAATAACCAACGAAAATAGCAATAGGTTATATGTTTTGTTAGTCTCTTGACTGACCTGGACAAACAACTAAAAACAGAGATTCTCAAGTCTATTGGTTTTTTCTGCTTGTTTGTTTGTTTGGTGGTATTCGACTCTTGGAGGTAGCACCATCAGCCCAGGTAAGAAAAGTTCATAAAACTCTGCATGTATATTTACATAAAAAATGATGTATGTCACGGACTTATTTGTTTTAAATGAATGGTTGATAGTTTTATTCCTTGTGTCAAACTAGATGAGAGAAAACTCAGAAGGCCTCAATTCTACATAAATTACCATAGACAGCTGAGGGAAACCAGTAGTTGGTGATGTGATCTTCCCCTAGGAAAGAGCACAGCATTTGGTTTCCTCTAAAAACACACACATATATATATATGTAAATATATGGGCTGAACAGGTTATATACACAATTACATATAATACAGTATGTTATTATATATAATATAATATTGCATAAAATAACAATGAGTGAAAGAAAGCGGCCAAGAATTAGAGAGTGGGGAAGTAGTATATAGGAGTATTTGGAGGGAAAAAAGAAAGGGTGGAATGTTGTAATTATATTATGATCTCAAATATTAAAAAAAATATGTAGGAGTAATTTTCTAAAATTACCAAAAAAGCCAGATGGGTTTTTAGGCAGGTATTCCATTGGCCCTGCATTTGCATATTTTGATCATTTTTCCTACAGCTATTAAAAGGGATATACAGAGGCATGCTGCAGTGTGCACATCTACAATCCCAGCAATTAGGGGACAGCCTGGGCTACAGAGACCATCCCTATAAAACCAAGCTAACTCAACTAAATACTATAAAAATGATTAAACATTGTTCAAATATTAATTTAAGTCTCAGCTTGCATTAACCATACGGAAGTAATAACGAATATCCTAGTATGTGCAAGTTTTACAATTTTTAAGAATTTGTTTTACTTTTAATTATGTCTGTGTTTGTGCGTCTTTGTGTTGATGTATGGATAGGAGCCCAGTGCTGGAGGAGACCAGAGACACCAGATCCCTGTAGAGCTGCAGTGACAGGTGATTGTGAGAGACATGTGACTGGGTCTTGGCAATCCAGTAAGGACAGTACATGCTATTGAGTGCTGATTCATGTCTCCAGCTGCAAATTTCATAGTTTTGAATGACTGATTCTCTCTCTCATACATACATACATATATGGATGTATATGTTTGTATATATGTGTGTATGTGTGTGATAATTCATGAATGTTTTGTTAAAATTATGTGTGATAAAATGTCATAATGATTTGCATATTTATTTTTATTATTTTTCAGAAGCCCATTATTTCATTTAGTGTGCACTAATAAAAAGAAGTTAAGCAAAGAGGGAGCATATTAATGTTAATGTATAATCTTGGTTCCAATTTTATCTCTGTGTGTCATATATATGCATGTCGGTATGTGCACCTGTCTGTACGCATATGGAGACAGAAGGTTAATGTCAGATTTCTTCCTCAATGGTTCTTCATATTAAGTATTGATACAGGATCTCTTACTGAATCTGGAATTCACCAGTTTGCCTAAACTAGGTGTCCAGCCTCCACAGCCTCTTCTTATTCAGTCATCTCTTGTGCTGGGATCATACACACACACACACACACACAGAGAGAGAGAGAGAGAGAGAGAGAGAGAGAGAGACAGACACAGAGAGAGAGACAGAGAGACACAGAGACAGAGAGAGACAGAGAGACACACACAGAGAAAGAAGTTTTTTTTAAGTAATTTTATTAAATTATAAAAGTTTCCATTTCAGCCCTTCCTCCCAACACCCTCCCACTCCCCCCACTCCCTCTCCTCCTCCCTCTCCATCCCTAAGAGCAGTCAGGGTTTCCTGCCCAGTGGGAAGTTCAAGTTCCTCACCCCTCCCTCCAGGTCCAGGAAGGTGAGTGTCCAGACGGACTGGATCCGCAAAATCCAGTATATGCAGAGGAAACAAGTCCCAGTGTCATTGTCAATGGCTTTTCAGAAAGACTCCGGGCCAGCCACATTCAGAGAATCTGGTTGGATCGCGTCCTCGTTCAGTCCCAGTCCAACTGGCCTTGGTAAACTCTCATTAGATCCGTCCCTTGTATCAGTGGGTGATCGCATCCCTCGCAGTCCTTATTTCCTTTTTCATTTTCTTCCTCCTTCTGCTCCTCATTTGGACCTTGGGGGGCTCAGTCCGGTGCTCCAATGTGGGTCTCCGTCTGTATTGCCATTCATCATCGGATGAAGGTTCCCTCTGGTCTTGCCTTCTTTGCTCATGTTCTCTTTCCTTCTGCTTCTCGTTTGGACCTAGGGAGTTAAGTCCAGTGTTCCGATGTGGGTCTCCGTCTCCATCTCCATCCATCGCCAGATGAAGGTTCTATGGTGATAAGCAAAATATTCATCAGTATGGTTATGGGCCTAGGTTTTAAATGAATGCTGACAATTCAAATTCAGGTCCTCCTGCCTGTGCAGCAACCACTTTACCCACTGAGTTATATCCCATGGTCTCCAGTTCCAAGTTTTATTTTGGCAAAATATCCTGAATTAAATCACTGGTTTTTTTTTGTCCTTGATAAGTAAATAGAGGAAGCGAAGGTGTTAAAATGTAAAAATAACCAATGATGAAAAAGTCCAGGGTGCTAGGGCACAAGGTATATTAAGATAGATGTCTGAAGTCCTAATGCCTTCTTCCTCTCCACGTTCTGCTTTGGTTAGGACTTAGTGAATCATAGTCTATTGAGGGTGGGCTTGATATCAGCGCCCAGGCGGAATGAATAAAAGTATTTCTGTTTACCTAGAAAGGTGAGTGGAGAGAACCACAAGCTCTCACCCCAACTCTGAAGGGGAATGAAAACCTGTAGAATTCAGGGACATTGATCTGCATCTCGGGAAGGAGGAAGAAGTCCGGCATCAAGGCTTCTTTCTTCAGTCTGATATGTCTAGTCCTGTTGCTTTTGGATGCACCGTGTCACTGTTAGTTCTGGGTTCTCATCTTAATCATCTCTAATAGCAACCAGAGAATCGGAGTTGGCTCGAGTTCCGGAGGCAGGCTGGCAGGATTTGGGCTTGGTTGGAAACTCCCTGTTCCTTCTGTGGTGTCTCAGTTCAGGAAATTGTTCTTGACCTCCCTGGCCCCATGCTCACTGCACTTGAGGAATTTATTTCTCCTCCCTTGGTTACACATTCTCTAGCTGCACCTCCAGAATCTGAGGAACTTCCCGTCAGTTAGACTCACTCCTTGGCAAACCCGGAGTCCTTTGTAAACACTCTCATCGTTTCGTTCCCTAATAAACGGGTCTAGTGTTTCCTGCAGGTCCTTTCCTTCTGCTACTTGTTTTTTTCATTTACTTTCTGAAGGACTTTACTGTGGAAGGACCCTTGTGGGAGGAAGAGACTTTTATCTCTTGTTCTGCCATTGTTGCTTGCTGAGTTTGGTACGAATGCGTTGCCTTGCTGAGCTTCTAGCTATTTTCTCAGGATAGGGCTAAGATGAATGCATTTTAATACTTCACCTTTCCATATCATTTAGGGTCTTACTTGGTCTCAGATGCTCTGCCAAGCTGCCCACCTGTTGCAGTTCACAGCAATGCTATTCTATATTTGCTATCATATTTATTTTAGTGTATGTAAATGAGCATAATTTTTTCCTTTGCAGTAAATATCTTTTGAACTCATGTGACTATATACCGGATACTTAGACTAAATAAAAAGAACAGGAAAAGTGTGACCAAACCTCCCTGCCTCACAGTGCCACTGGGAATAGAGGTGAACGTTCACACACATGGAATGCCATAGGAAGCAGAATTGGAGGTGACCAGGTAATGCTAAACAGTGGCATTCAGGAGTCCCTTAAGGGAGGGCTGTAAACAGAGGCTGAAAAGATGAGTAACCTGTGAGAGAAGAATAAAGAATATTTCACAAAAGGAAAATAATCTGTTAGGGAGGCTAGAGATTGGATATTGGATATTTAAATGGGATAAAGGAGTTGTAGTTAGCAGGGAAAGGAGGTAAGAGGAAGCTGGCATTCACGGAGAAGGGGGTATGTCCAGGTTTGCTTTTCACAGAGCAGTTTTGAGCTAGCTTTAAGCTATGCTTGCTCTCCTATGGATGCTAAAATGCCGCTGAAAAGTGTTGATCAGGTATGTGCCTTGGTCATGTTTGATTTTTAAGAGATTTTATTTGGATTCAGAATAAGAACAGTGTTATATGAATAAATTTTATCTCTTATTTACTATGAGCAAAATTGTAAATATTTTAAATTTAATTTTTATTCTATTTTCCCACTGATACAGGGTTTCTCTGTGTAGCCCTGGTTGTCATAGAACTCAGTAGAACAGGATGGCCTCAAACTCAGAGATCTCCCTACCTCTGTCTGAGTGCTGGATTAAAGTTGTCTCACCATAACCAGCTACAATTGTAATTTCTGTACCTAAATTGCCCATGGCACTAGTCCCCGGAGCTGGGCCACCTGTATCCAACAGCCTCAAGTTATTATATTTGTTAAGACCATATTTGTAGATACGATCCCCTTTGCTTCTGAGGAGATATACATTTTGGAGGATGCCATTTGACCTAGTATGATGATATTAAGACTAACTCAATTGGGAGACAAGGAAAGACACCTTGTGAAGTTAAGAGATATGTTCAAGATCACAGGTTAATATGTAGTAGAAGTGGGTTGGCAAGGTATCCCCTTGGGAAATTATTGCAGACTCATGGCAATGGTTGCAGCAGGGATAAGAAAATATGGTGGGTCTGTTAATATTGACTGGAGGGTTAAAAATAGGAGGAATCTAGAAAAACTGCCAAGTTTCTGACCTGAACTAGTAGGCAGAAGTTCTTGTTTGTATAAAACACCAGATGGTACCAGACAAATAAAAGTTTGGAAAGAAAGGGGAAAATTTGAGGGTTGGTAATGTTGTACCTGAGCTACAAAAGGAACATTTGCTTAGAGGTGGATATAAATGCGTAACACCCAAAACAATAATCTTGGCTAAGCCATCAAATATCAGAACTAGAATGAGAATCATTCATTCATTAAATGTGTATGAGCCCTTCCCTTATGTCAGACACTATTAGAGGCTCAAGGACACAACTGTGAACAGACAGGAAAAGTTCCATCTCTTATGAAATACATGTGGATAGAGGAGGCAGACAGTAAATCATAATAATAACTCTGCTTAAAATAGAAGTATGTGTTTAACAGACCCTAAGAAGGAAAAGGTATCAAAGGAAAGGGCTGGTAAAAACTTTGTCCCTTTGTTAGTATGGTGAGAGTGGGCTTCTCCAAGCAGGTGGCCACTGAACAGAGGCTTTAAAAGGTTAGGGGCTCATCTCTTGGATTTAAGTGCACAAAATTTCTGAGACAGAACCATCTGGCTGATTCATGTAGAACAGAACAAAGGTCAGTGTGGTGGTAGCATAGGGAGCTAAGGGGAAGAAGTGACGCTTATGAGGGGTAGCACTGATGCTTAGTAGGCTTCAATGTATATGTTATTGTGAGTTAGTTTCTTACAAAGATACACACATGCATGCACATGTGTGCATGCACACATATGCATTCACACACACACAGACAGAAGACAGACAGACAAACAGATAGATAGAGATAGATAGATAGATACAAAGAAAAAAGGATGGATGGATGGAAAAGAAATTTATGGTTATTGGAAGAGACTCTACAGCTACAAATTTACTAAACCAGCATGATCCCTAACAACAATCTATAAACATTTGTCTTGTAGTCTTCACTCCTTATCAAGGAACCTTCTTTTTGTAACAGATAGAGACGCTACAGAAAACCAAAACCAACCTAAATGTAGGGTTGTGAAGTCCTGTCCCCATGGATACATCTACAAAACACTCCCATTCCTAAGCCTCAGGGAACATTCCAAGAGAGGGTGTAGGAAGATATTAAGAGCCAGAGGAGCTTGTCTTTTTCTGCTTACTCTGTAGATTAGAGAAACACAAGATGCTCTGAAAAAGATAAGATCTCCTGAGTAAATTGGAAGCATGGGGACCTTGGGGGAGGCTTGAAGGGGGAGGGGGAGGCAGAGAGGGGAGCAGAGAAAAATGTAGAGCTTAAAAAAATCAATAAAAAAGAAAGAAAGAAAAAAGAGCCAGAGGATCAGGGAATTTGCTGTGATATTATGTCACCTAGTAACATCAGAAGCTATATCCATAAATTCTTTTCAAAATGACCACCCAAACATGAGCTGAACATGGATGACACCAACAATCACACCAAGTTGGATGGAGGGAAAGTACACATGGCCTCAACCCTGCACGAACAAGTACAAGCAACTGAGTAAGGAGAGTGGGAGAGATGATCCTCCCCAGGGAAGAGCACAGCCAACCAGTCAGCCCTGAGTGTGTGTGTGTGTGTGTGTGTGTGTGTGTGTGTGTGTGTGTAATATATATGGACTCAACAGGCTGTATATAGGAATATACAAATTCATATATGCATGTTATAACAATTATTTAATAAAGAGGCCATGAATTTCAAGAAGAGTGTGGTGTATATTGGGAGGTTTGGATGGAGAAGAGGGAAGGGAGAAATATTACAGTTAAAATACAGTCTCAAAAAAACATTAAAAAGATGGAGACTGATTCAGTTTTTAACTGTCTTTTCTCTATAAGGCTTCAGTAATGGTAGATCTCTGGTCTGGGCTATGGCACTCCTCACATTGCTCTCTTCCTAGGCAATCTCAGTGTTTAAGCTAAAACGAAACTCAATCTCTCTCTCCCTTCTCTTCTCCTCTCTCTCTCTCTCTCTCTCTCTCTCTCTCTCTCTCTCTCTCTCTCTGACAAGGTCTTTCACTGAATCTGGAGCTCACCAGTTAGATGAGGCTATCCAGCTGGTGAGCTCCCAAGATCCTCTTGTCTCTGTACTCCCATTGCTGGGATTCCAAACTTGTGACACCATATCTAATTTTTATATGGGTGCTGGGAATAAGTTCCTCTTGTCTTAGTCAGTAAATACTTTACTCATGGAACCAGATCCTCAGCTCTGAAAATTAAGATTTCATTTTAGTTTCTCTTATTGAAATAACTGCTCCCACATATTCAAGCAACATAATGTTAATACATAGTGACTTCATTTCAAACACATGAAATACTTTAGCCAGATGTACTACTTTGTGGCATTTTTCATCAATAACTTCAAGAGTTTGTCTTTTCAGAAGTGACATCATTTGTTGGGTGACTTTATTTCTTTCTTTTCCCCGAAAGCAAAGCAGATGGATTTTCTTGATGGGTATAGGGTTCAGGTCGGTGGCATGAGATTGAATGCAGAAGCTGCACTGCTACCACACTGAGGATGTGCCTGACCTACCCCTGGATGAAGGAAGGCAAGGTAAGTGTATGATGAAACTAGACCATCTGCATTCTCCTTGCTGATGCCGGTCCAGGGCAGAGACCCTGCTGGTCTGCAGGTATAAGAGTGAGTCTGCCAGAGAACAGGTTTGATTAGCCTGGCCAGCTCATCAGCATGGAAATACAAGAGCCTAGGATGGACTTCAGAGTGATTCCTTGGTTTAGGATTGCTCAGCTCCAGGCAATAGGTAACTGATCCATCAGCCTTGTAAGGAATTGAGACAGGACACAAAGCTGTGGAAAGAGCACTCCTCATCAACAAGCATGGTGCCTCTCTCTAGAGAAACAGGGATTCTAGCCCAGTTCACATTTACTGTTAAGAGTTAATATTTCTCTCATAATTAGGTATTTTATGTAAAAGCAACAAGGAACCAGTGTTAAGGCCCTAATGAATATGTGATGGAGGAGGGTTATCTGTCTATTGTGTTATTTTCATTGGTCAATAAAGAGACTGCCTTGGCCCTTTGATAGGACAGAAAATTAGGTAGGCGGAGTAAACAGAATAGAATGCTGGGAAGAGGGCAATGAGGCAGACGCCATGGAGCCAGCCACCAGGTCAGACATGCTGAATCTTTTCCGGTAAGCCACCACCTCGTGGTGCTACAGATTATTAGAAATGGGTTAATATCAAGATATGAGAGTTAGTCAGTAACTAACTCTCTAGAGATAATGGGCCAGGCAGTGCTTAAATGAATACAATTTGTGTGTTGTTATTTCTGGGACTAAGCTAAACGTGTGGGAGCCGGGCAGGACGAAAAGCAGGCCTGCCCGCAGCCCCTCACTACAAATATGAGCTTGGATAGAACCACATCCTGTCCCCAGACATGGCCTCAGTACTGCAAACAAAACTCTTTGCTTTGTTTACAGCAAGGAAATCCTCCCTCTGTGAGGTAGACTGTTAACTCCTCAACTGTGATGCCGTCATGTGTCCCTCAGGAACCACCCAGTTTTTTTAGGTTTCTTATTAACACTTCAAAGATAATAGTCTTGAAGGCTATCAAAATTCTGTATGATACTATAATATATAAAATCCCACATCATCCTAAATGGAGGAAAACTTGAAACAATCCTGCTGAGACCAGCGATGAGAAAGGGATGTCCACTTTCGCCACTCCTTTTCTACATTGCTCTCAAAGCACTAGCCGGAGCAATAAGGCAAGAGACGGAGACCGAAGAGATGCAAATAGCAGAAAGAAGACTCCAAATTTCCCTATTTGCAGATGACATGATATACAGAAAAGATGCCAAAAATTCTACGAGAAAATTTCTAGAAACGATGAACACATCCAACAGCATGGCAGGATCCGGAATGAGCCTGCACAACATAAGAAGAAAGACATGACGGACACTCTTATATAAGCAGAGACTGTGCTTTCCTTTCCCCACTGCCCAGAACCAAATAATCACACAGAAACTGCATTTGTTACAACAAGGTTTGGCTAACAGCTCAGGCGTATTTTTTTGGTAATTCTTATATCTTAAATTAACCTATTTCTATTAATCTGTGTATCACTACGAGGCTGTGGCTTACTGGTAAGGTTATGGCATCTTTCTCCTTTGGCAGTACATGTTGTCTGCCCGACTCTGCTTCTTTCTCTCTGCATTCAGTTTAGTTTTCCCACCTAGTTATATTCTGCCCTGCCACAGGCCAAAGCAGCTTCTTTATTAATCAGTGGTAATAAAATATATTCATATTATACAGAGAGGACTCTCACATCACTCAGAACAGTCTCAAAGAAAATATCTAGGAACAAACATACCCTAGGAGATGAAGGGTCTCTACAATGAAAACTTTAAATTCTTAAAGAAAGAAAGACACCAGGAAATAAGAATTCTTTGCTTATGGATTGTGAAAGTGACCACTAATAAATATTGGGAAAATGACCATTGTGCCAATATTCATTTGCAGATTCAAGGCAATCCCTTTCCAAATGCCCATCTCATACTTCACAGAAATAGAAAAGAAAACTATCTTAAAATTCATATGAATTCTGGGTGGTGGTTGCACACCCTTATAGTCCCAGCACTTAGAAGGCAGAAGCAGATGGATCTCTGTTAGCTTGAGGCCATACTACAATTAGAGTTTCAGGCCAGCCAGGACCACACAGAGAAATTCGATCTTGAAACACACACACACACACACACACACACACACACACACACACACACACAAAACAGAAAAGACTCTAAATAGCCAAATCAATTCTGGGCAAAAGGAGCAATGCTGGAGGGACTCCCATCCAGATCTTAAGGTATATTAATAATAAGATATAAAGTAATATAAAATTACCTAAAGTCAAGGTAATAACAATATGGTACTGGGACAAATGAGATAGGAGGAGCAATGAAACAAATCCAAAGACCCAAACATGAATATATTATAATATACTTTAGCCATTTAATATTTGACAAAGATGTTAAAATTGTATACTGGAGAAAAGAAAGCGTCTTCAACAACCAGAGCTGGGAAAACTGGATGTCCATATGCAGAAGAATGAAATGAGACCTGTATCTATAAACTAACTTCAAGAGAATCAAAGACCTAAATATGAAATCCAAAACACAAAAACTGCTAGAAGAAAATATAGGCAGTACCCTACACAATACAGGCATAGGAAAGAACTTCCTAAATAGAATTTCATTTGCCCAAATCTTGAGAGAAACAATTGACAAATAGTACCTCACAAAAATAAAATACTTCTTCACAGCTTAATAAAAAATCAGTTGAGTAAAGAGGAAGGCCAAAAATAGGCAAGAACCTTTGCCAGCTCTGCGTCTGACAGAGGAGTATTATTCAGAACATTCCAAAGAGAGAGTGGGGAGGACTCATTAAAAACTGACTTTGGAACCTGAACAGCAAGTTCTCAAAGGAATAAATAAAAGTGGCTAAGAAATATCTCAAAAAAATTAAATAAACCTCATCATCCCTAGCATTTAGCGGAGTACAAATCAAATCAACTTTGAGTTTTCATCTAACCCCAGCAAGAATGGCAAAGGTAAGACAAACAAAAACCCCTGACAACAAATGCTGGAGGGGGTGTGCGGAAGAGGGACCCCTCACTCACTGTTGGTGGGATCGAAGACTTGTGCAAACACTGTGGAACTCAATGTGGAGAAAACTGCAAAGCTGAAATAAATCCGCCCCACGCCCCATCTCTTTGACTTGTGCCTAAAGTATGATGGCATGATTACATGTGACACCGTGATTCAGAGACACGTGCTCTGCCACGTCTGCAATCATTTCATTCACAAGAGCCAGGAAGGAGAAACAACTTAAGGGCTCTAAAAGTGAAGAATTAACAATGAAACTGTGGTATATGTACACAATGACAAACTGTTCAGCTGTAAGACAAATTAAATCATGAAATTTGTAGGTAAATGGTTGGAACAAGTAAAAATCACATTGAAACTGTGTTTGCCATGAAATTCCCGGCCTCATAATTGCAGCAAACACCACAGTCTTTGAAGACTACTACTATCTCGGCACTGAAGTCAGGCCGTGCCCAGCTGACCTGCCTCAGGACTAATTGTGACAGAGACACTAAGACCACTTGCTCTTTGCAGTCAGGAAGTCCTATTGCGGATGATTTTGGCCCCTGGGCTCTGATCAGCACTGGCCAAACTCCTGTAAAAGGGGGGCAGTGTAGATTTCTCCTTCCCTGGTTGAGCTGGTTAGCTTTCGGAAACTTGATCCAAACCTGGATGTGCCTGGGAAGAGGGTATCTGAATTGAAGAATTCATTTCATTGGATTGGCACGTCTACGGGACATTGCCTTGATAATTAGTTCAAGTTGGAGAATGAAGCCCACTGTGGGCACTGCCATGCCAGGGCTGTCTAAGAAAGGCATCTGAGAAAGCCAGAGGGAAGAAACCAGAAAGCAGAGCTCCTCCAAGTTTGCTGCTTCAGTGCCTGCATTCACTTCCCTTGATGATAAATTGTAAGCTGTAATGCAAACAAACCCTCTTCTCTCCCGAGTTGTTTTTGGTGTTTTATCAGCTCAGCAAAAGGCACACTGCCACGCTGGTCTTCTCTTCCTGGGTCCTTCATTCTGGTCGGGTGTGTCTTGTGTCCTGGTTTCCCTTTCCTGCTTTTTCGAACTACCTCTCTATTCTCTTCTATATGGGCATTTCTTGTAATTAAATTTTTTTACACATCGAATCCCATTTTGGGAGAGAGTTCTTGAGAATCCATTCTAATGCCCACTCTTCTTTGAGCCCTGTTTTCCTTGTGTTTAGAAGAAAAGCTGTCTGTCAGGTGGCTGTAATGCATTACTGTGAGCCAGTGAGCTCGAAGCATCATTGCGCAGAAGCAGCCAATAACGCTTTAGTTAATTAGTGGAATTGCTTTATTATTATTTTTACAATATCTTAATGCTTTCTTTTAGGTTATTAGACCCTGAGCTGTCTATCACTAGGGCAGCCTGGGTTGAAATAAATGTAGAACATAACAGTTAGATAAAAACTACAGAAACTATGGATAAGATAGCAAAAATTCAGACAAGGTTATCTTATCTGTTACTCACTTAATGTGAAAGGTACTATTGATTGGTGTTAACTCACCTGCTTTCATGCTATGTGGCCATTGGGATTGAGTTCTTCGGACATAAAGAAAATAAAGAGTTTTCAGTTAAACTGAAGCAGCTTCTCACAGAAAGAGGCCTTAAAAGGACACCAACATATTTTCCTTACTTGAATTATCCTAAGTATTACATATATTCTACAGTTACCTGAAACTGAGGGCATACATGTCATTGATGACATAGTTCTTCTGGATTATAATTTGGGAATCATGCTTAACATTCTTTCCACATGGGTCAGGCTTTAATTCTAGCACTCTGGAGGCAGAGACAGGTGAAGCTCTATGAGTTAAAGGCTAGCCTGGGCTATAGAGCAGGCTCCAAAGCTACAAAGGGAAACTCTGTCTTGAAAAACCAAGCCAAACCAAACCAAACCAAACAAAAACATTCTTTTCCCAAAATTGAAACAAGAGTATTGTTTAAGGAGTAACCTACTTTAAAAAATAGGAGTTATAATTATTTAATAAAAATAAAAAGAGGATGGGAATTCAGTATTGCCTCCTGTTAAACTGAATATAACTTTAAAATGTAAAGACTAATGGCAGGCTTCCGAAGGAATTTCTTTTTCTTTTCCTTTTCTTTTTACTTATTTGTTTATTTTTGGTACACATCTACAGATGTGTAGATCTCTGGGCTGAGTGATTATGATAGTGTTCAATTCTTTTACATTTCCATCCTCTCTCTTTGCTCTTTCAGAAACAAGCACAGAGCACACACGGATGTGGCACTAGCTCAGTTTTTAGATGTTGCATAGCCTCAGAGGGGCCACGACCTCGTGAGACCAATAGAAAGTCACAGACACATCACCCAGCTGGCAAACCCATAAGCTGCTTATTTTTTTTTTTTACTCATCCTTTTGGTTAATTTACGTTGTACTTTTCTATTGTTTATATTGAACTATATATTTTTCTCTGCCACCCTCCTTTCCTCTCCCCTACCCTCCTACCCTCTTCCATGATCCCCATGCTCCCAATTTGCTCAAGAGATTTTGTCTTTTTCTACTTCCAATGTAGATTAGATCCATGTATCTCTCTTTTAGGGTTCTTTTTATTGTCTAGGTTCTCTGAGATTGTAAATCGTAGGCTGGTTTTCCTTTGCTTTTGGTCTAGAAGACACAAGTGAGTGAATACATATGATATTTGTCTTTCTGGGTCTGGGTTGTCTCATTCAATATGATGTTTTCTAGATCCATCCATTTGTCAGCTTATTCTGACATTGACCTCAGTCACCGAATGACTATGTCTCCTTCATCCAAAGGTCAGTATCAGGGACTAGTGTGAGTGGTCTACTTACATCAACTTTCTCTTTTCCTAAAACTTTCCTCTTTCTTTCCCTCCCCTCCCCTCCCCTCCCTTCCCATCCCCTTCCCTCCTCTTCTCTCCCCTTCCCTCTCTTCCCTTCCTTTTCCTTCCTTCTCTTCCCTTTTTCCCTTCCTGTCTCTTTCCCTCCCTCTCTTCCTCCTTTCTTTTTCTTTATTTCTTTCTACCTTTCTTTTGTTAACTCAGTACATAAATCCAAGGTTTTCATTGTGGTGTTTTCATGCACATTTGTACCCTTTGTTCTTATCTTCCCCTCCCCCACTGTCTTCACTAGTTCCCTTGAACCAGTCTTCCTGATCCCCATCTTCCCAATCCCTTGCTTCCATGCTCTCATGCTTATGCATTTCATTGCCCTTTCTTTTTTGTTCCTTTTCCCCTTATGGTTTCCTTTCTTCCTGCCTCACTTACTAATCCAATACTCTCTTAACTGGCCTCCTAGTACTTCGTGTTTTCTCTCCAATCTACTTTCCTCATGACACCCAACAAGCTAGTTTTTATCATGACCTTAGTGTTCTCAGTGTCCTTTTGCTGTTGCTGTTGCTGTTGTTGTTTATGGATATAGTCTTCTAACTCTTTTGAATACCCAACCCGAACAGAAAATACATTAAGCATACACCTATAGTAGTATGTATATTTTATTAATTATCTCTGCAGGACTACAGGGTTATCTATTTCTTGTGTTCCAAATGTCCAGCTATAGAATGTAAAAGTGTATTATGTAGATGACATAAATATTGATATAAACAGCGTGCTAATATGCTATACAGTACTATTTTATGTCCAATATATCCTTAGAATAAGGTACAGCTTAATAATCGAGATAGTGTATTGCCCTTTTGAATTTATTTGTTCATCTACATATTTATGACTAACTTATCATGATGCCCTCCATATATACATATACATACACACACACATACACACACACACGTCAGACGAGAAGAGATGGCCTCTGGTAGTAGTCCATCATTCAGTTCATTCAGATTTTTTTTTGATGTTTTAGCAAAGTTAAATTAGGTACAGTAGGAAGAATTCAAAAATGACTCTTGAGATTATTGATCATGGGTATCATTACCTCCCATATGAATATCTATTGAGGATGGATAGGTTTCAGTATTATAATCAGGTTATAACATAGGAAAAGGACTCTCATTGATATAGTTAATGCCCCAAATTAATTTACTTTTATTTAGCCAAAGGAAATTATTTGGGTAGATCCAACTTTAGCACACAGGAATTATTTTTCTTTATTTTAAATGACAGATTTGGAATATTCAAGTGCTTTCTCTTGATGGTCTTGAAGAAGATGGACACCACCATGTCTTCTAGAAACAAAAGGAAGTGAGCTTAACTAACAGAAAGAATACCTTTGGAACGGAACTTCCTTCTTCGGATGGGATGAAACCTCAGGTACCACTTGGGTGATAGGCATCTGAGACATGAGCCATCCAGCAGGTACGTGGACTCCTGACCTGTGGAAACTGTACAGAAACTAGTGGGTGCTGTTTGAGTCACATAGTTTTAAGTGGTTTTGTGTTGCTCTTCCTATTTTATTTTCTAGTGGTAACTAACAACGCATATATATTCTTGTAAGAATTAAGCTACCTAAATCTAGTCCTGGTTGTTTCTACATGCAGATTCTTGTCATAGAGATGGGTTACAGAGCTGTGGATGTGTGTGAATGAGAGTGTTACCTGCCTCCCAGCTCGTGGACCACTCCATTCATTTAATAAAATTTGAAAATAAAATTTATGCCCTGGCAGTGATGAAGCATGCATAGGCAGCCTGTATGTGATGGGTCCGTTGAATTTGTTCATATTGGGTTTCTTGGTCTAAGTTAATGAGGACAACTGACCAGGTCTCTTCCAGAAGAGGGTACTAGATCTCATTATAGATTGTTGTGAGTCATCATGTCGTGGTTGGAAATTGAACTCAGGATCTTTGGAAGAGCAGGCAGTGCTCTGAACTGCTGAGCCATCTCTCCAGCCTGCTTGTAGATGGTTGACCTATGACTGGTAACCGGCAGATTTAAAAGCAGAGCACGTGACTAGTCTATGAGTGTTTGAAGTTATTATCACGAAATTTCAGGGCCTGCTCAGTCTAAGCTTTCATTCCCCTTCCTAAATCTACCTTTTCTTCTTCTTTAGAGGCGATTTTTAAAGGTGCTCCAAGTGCACTTTGCTTCATGCAGAATTAAAAATCCTCAGAAGAGCTTTATTAATAATTCCCTTGTTTCCCTTTAGTTGGTAAACCTTATGCCATTGTTGAAGATGGCTCATCTCAAACAGGACCTTTTCAGAAATCGTTCCTGTCTGTCATTTTCCTTGTAGAGCAATCTCTGTCCACAGGGATTTCTCATGCTTCTGGATAGTATTCATTATGGGGTGCTCTTGCTGATTTTTGCTGCTGATTGTTAAATTGGGACCAAAAATTGGTTTTACCCATATCTCTTCCTCCAGACATGGACATCTGATGGGAGTTGTCAGGGTTGCTCCTGTTCTTCTGATAATAAAACTGTTTTCTTTTAAAACTTTTCTTTCTCCGTGTATTCTCCATCAAGCTCCAAGTTCTCTTTGTATTTGATGGCAAAGCATGTGAACCACAGGATGCTGTAATCTGATTTGTGTATGTGATCCAAACTGGTCACTAAAATTTTATAACAATAATGCTGGTGAAGAACAGGGCCTACACAGGTTCACAACAGATAGGGTTCCAGCACTGAAATAGGGAAGTAGACCCATGCTCTCATCTCTCACCAAGAAGGTATCTCCAATTATTATTGCTGGCAAAGGACAAGGTAGTTTTTTCCAATGGAATATCACTGAATATGTTAACCACACTTAAGGGTAGGCAGGTAGACCACAGGACAAGCAATAGATGACCAACACAAATCAAACTCAGTAGCTTTTATCTTAATTTGCTTTGATTGGGCATTTTTTGTCTTACTTGTCTTTTGTTTACATATTATAGTTTCCATTTTTGTGCTTTTGTGTATGTGCATGTTTCTTGTGTTTTTCCTTTGATTGTATATGCGCATTTAATTTTGATTTTTGTTTGTCTGTTTTCTAAAGAGAAAGAAAGGCAGAGTATGGAGTTGAGTGGAGGTGAGGAGGAGTTAATGGAACAGGAACTGGGATCATAATATATTGCATGAAATATATATATATATATATATATATATATATATATATATATGAAAAAAATTACCCTTCTTGGGTGTAAGGTTGTAGGCAATCTAAGCCCAGACCTGCTTAGAAACACAGACTTTCTGGAGCCATTGCTGTAATTAAAAAAGCCACTAGACAGTGAAAGGAGAAGACCAGATGGGAAATCCTAAAAGTTTAGTGCCCTGAATTTGGATATCTTTGGGCCTACCTCTATTTATCCCTGCCTCTAATGACTCCTCTACCATTTCCTGGGAGCTCAGAAACCTTGGGTTTGTTAATTCTTCTCTGTTTCACAGGGTACTGGGTTCTTGCACACATGTAAAAACTCTGCTTGGCCCATCAAGTACCAGGTTAGAAGTCTGAATTACAAGGAGTTTTTCAGTCATTGCTCAGTAAGGACCAAGAATGAACTGTTACTTGGGAGACTGAAGCAGGAGGTGCACTGAAAAGTCAAGGACAGACTGAGCTATAGAATGACAGTGTCTTTAAAGACAGTCAGTACTGTTACCTTATACATGCAAGAAGCATTATGCAGACTGAGTTTTATTTATGCTTTTAGGAATACATACAAATATGTGTGTGTATGTGCGCGCACGGGCGCGTGAGCATGTGTGTGTGCGTGAACACGCATGTGTATAATGACAAGTAAAGAAAATAGAATGAGTTTGAAGGAGAGCAAGAAACAGTGTGTAGTTGATTTGGAAGGAGGAAAGGAAAGAAGGAAATCATGCAATTACATCATAAACTCAAAAAATAAAATAAATATATTTTAGAAAGTTCAGTAAATCCACACTATTCTAACAACCCCTCCCTCCGCACCCAATGTTTTGGTTTTGGTCACTATCACATTTACTTGAAGAAAAGACTAAGACTCTCCAGTAAACGTGAATCATTATAGTTATTTTTGAACCCCTTTGTGATAGGCTAATTCCTACACACAACCAAAGCTCCCAGGAATGCAGTGCCTCTCACACACCATCATTACACAGGCTCGGAGGTAATTAGATGTCTCTGACAAACGGGATTTGTCATGGCTAGACTAGAAATCACTTACCTTCAGCTGCAGCCTTCAGCTTTGTTGGTTTTCTATTTTAATTGCACCTGAAAATTTTATTTGTGTGATCTCTTGTTAATGTATATATATATATATATATATATATATATATATATATATATATTTTACCAAATATTCAACAATTATTAGCTTATTTCATCACCCCATGATCCTGTCTTTTCTCTTTAAAGTCATTTGGGGACATAAAGAGAGTAAAGAGGTTCTGCTTATTTTTAGTGTTTTGGAACTTCATTTTGTTATTATTTTTCATTGATATTTTTAGTTGGCCCACAAAATGCTGAAGTTCATCATGCCGTTCTCATACAATCACGCCTGTGCAGTTTGCTCGCAGCATCTCAACGGGATTGTTTTAGGGATGCCATAGATTGAGCTGGGACCTGACACAGGCTAGGGGGGAGTGTGCTGTAGCAGCGAGCTATATCCCTCGTCCAGCCACCTGCCTACTGACAAATGTCGCCTCAGTAGGATGTATGCTTTCTAAAAAATACTCCTTGAGAAATAACCGCATAGGAAATTCTCACTTCCCATCAGGCTCTTGTAAACTTAAGAATTTCAAAGGAAAACTGTAGATCTCAAATCCTTAAACAAATGAATTGTTTTACGGCTTTTTCTAAAATTCTAGCTGTAATAATAAGAATATTATTTTAAAATGATATGAAATTTTCTTAAAATTCTGTTTTTTACAAGTTTTTTCTCTTAATCCTATAAGAGTTAAGACAGTTTGTATCAAAAGGAGGTGATATTCATTTTGGTCCCAGTGATAAGTACACAGTCAAGGCCATATCTCCAGAAAAAAATGAAAACTGAAGTACCTGTCTAAACAGCTTAGTGCTAAAAAGAAAAGGGGTTTCCTGCTCCATGCTGAGATCCCTGATTTGTAAGGGTTTTGGTTTGTTCTGCTATCTTTTTTTCAATTTTATGATTACTTGTAGTGCTCAATTTTTGTTATTTTAGAGTCTTGCTCATGAAGTAATTAAAAAAATTAAAACCAAAGTCAATTTAAAAAAAAATATCAAGAGTGAAAGAAAAATTATTTACCTCACAAAAGATAAAATTCATCATTTTTCAGACTGAATATTTATATTCCTTGTGTTTTTCAACATTTCAAAGCAAACAAATGTAAATAACATATTAAGAATTATATTTGTAGATTATTTTAAAACTACACTTGTAACATTAACAAACAAGTTTGATTATGTCTTTTCCCCAGACTGCCTGTCTGTAATTACTGATAAAATACTACTTTGCTAAGTCTGATAAAACCTAAATTCTATAATGGCCTTTAAACTTAGATGATCCTTGTTTGTATTAAAATGTTTCTATGCAAGGAACATAGACACCTCATGTCTGGACCAATCTGTAGATTTCAGACTAATTTGACTGTTGTTGAGAAGGTTTTGATTTTCCAGACTCAAATAACACTGTTGTAAATTACCTATTTGTGGTTAGCCTAAGTCATGTCTATGCAAAATTATTAGGTGGCATGTCCCCAGTCTCTCTTTTAAACACAATGTTATTTTTACTGAAGTGTTTAGAATAACTTTATAACTAACATTTGAAAGAGGTAGGAAGCATATAATAAAACAACCTGTACTAAAATTTGAGGGAATTTTAGGTTCTTCAAAAGCTATTACTAATCATTAGCTACATCTATGACAAAAGTATTTATTCTGCATACTTAAAATAATAAGTATTTAAAATGTGAACAGTCTGTGAATGGAGAAGATTAAAAGAAAAATACTTTACCGAAATGAAAGCTAAAAGAAGCAGGAAGATGCTATTTGTAAATGTTGCTGAAGTAGTGCTTGATTTTGAAGAGAAAGTTAATGCTTTTCCTTACACCACAGTCTTCTCAAATAGTTATTTCATGCCATAAAAATAGAAGAGTTGAGTCTGGGAAGACATCTTAGCTTAGTGCTTGTACTGGAAATATCAGGATTCAAGTTCAATCTCGCACTCCCACATAAAAATGCCGGCATGGTGGCAAAAACTTGTTATCCCAGGGGTGTGGAGGCAGAAAGGCCTATGTGGCTTACTGGCCACCAGCATTTTCTAACATAGAATAAAATGCATGTAAAACAAAACAATAAAATAGCAAACAAAACGACAACAGTAAAATGAATGATAAATGAAACACAAGGTTGATTCCTGGCTACACTCATGAGCAAATAGTACACACCTTCACATATATGATCACCTACACACACATGAAT